TCAAAACAAGCTCTTTGATTACTTCCCTAGCTAATAAACAACCCTAAACAAGCTCTTAGGATTTAATTTACTAACAGCATTAAAAGAATTAGAAAGACTACCAATTCTAACCAACAGACTCGCAAGCTCGGTCTATTTAAACTAGATTATACATCTCCATAACATAAGATTGAAAATCTATTTATAATCAACTATGTTATTTGCTACTAGCTTTAGAACACTTAAACAATTACGGATTCAAAGTTCTAATTAGCAATATAATACCTTGACAATTGAACAAAGGGCCCTTTTGCAACAATTAATCAAGCAATAATTAAAACTCATATAACAGGAGATATATAAATAATAAAGAGTTCAGAGAATAAAATTAAGCTAAATAAATCTCACTGGTCTTTGAGAATCAAACTTCAATAATCCTTGAATTGGAAAATTCAAACTTAGCAGTACATTGCAGGAATGTTTACAGTAAAATAAAAATATTCTGAATAAAACTGACTTCCCTCTACTGAAAAATCCAGCCCTATTTATACTAGTTCTAGCTCCCTAATCTGCTAAAAATAATCCTAATTTCCCTAACATCCACAAATTAAATTCATCTACTCAAACACATAAAACTTAGAAAATAAACAATCTTTATTTTCCTAATTTCTAAAAAACCACAGAAACTCAATAGAACATGCTCCAACCTCTAATTCACTTCGTAGGAATTTGTGGATGTTGTTCGTAGAAGCTGTCTCAAACGTAAAGTCCTTCATCGCAGCAGTTCGTGGATCAGCCGTAGCAGTAGTTCACGGAAGGAATAATTCATTGCAGTAGTTTGAGGAAGCCGTCGCTTGCGGCTCGACAACAAAGTCGTCAACGGAGTCGAGCCTCGCCGATTTAGTCGCTGTCTTTATTTCATTCTACTGTTGCCGTCCCTGCGAACATCTTACGTACAGAGCTGCAAAGGAAAAACATAAGATGGATTGCTTAATTTGATCTTGGGCTAAACAATTAAATAAATAAATAAATAAACTTTGGTTGGGTCAAGCTAAATTAGGAAAGTATAGAGCCCATTTTAATCCAACTAGCCCAACTTTTATTAACTTGTTCATTAAGCCTAATTATTCAACTAATTATTATATTAGTACAAAATATAAAATAAAGTTTAAAATAAATATAATACTAAATAAATAAAACTAATTTATTATAAGAATTAATCTAAATTAAATATATAAATAGTGCTTATCACGTGGACCTAGGTGGAAGTAATATGAGCCCTTAGGAATTATTCTTAGTATGTGAATGATCACAAGTAAGCTTAATTATATGTCTCACCCTTCCCTATGTGAATTATGTGTTATTATGTGTTATTGTGTGTTACGTGATGCATGACCCCAACTTGGTTAAGATCAATTGGGCTATACGGGCAGTTGAATGGGCTGAGAACCATCCCAACTGTTAACCAGGCTGGTAGAGACCGGTCAGATATATAAAGATTATGCATAGGACTGAAGGTCCACATGGGCCTCCGTGATATGACCCACCGACCTGGACGCGCCAGGCGATGTGTAGGGCCAACAAGCCGAGGAAGACTGTAGTCCACCGACCTGAGTAATCAGGCGGTGTGTAGGGCTACGGCTGGCTGCGATCCACCGAGTGATGGGACATCGGTATGTTGGACCGTAGTCTACGAGGATCTTTGCCCACCTACTGAGTTTAGCTCAGCGGTGTGTCGGGCTTGATCCGCTATGGTCCATCGATTGTGCGCATCAACGGTGTGTAGGGTCGTAAGTCTCCCCTTGTAAAGGGGATCGCGGTCCACCAACTGGGCGCGTCAGCGGTGTGTCGGATCGTGGTCCGACGCTGAGTTCGTCAGCGGTTCTCAAAGGGTTGGTTGCGATCAACTCTCCTCGTACCGCGGTACTGAGGTAGGGTGCTGCGGGACCGTGTTAATGCTATAAGCATTAACCCTCATGTTCGGGGCATGCGATTGGTCCCGTGGCGCCATCAATGATTATGTGATATGAATGATGATTGGATGATGATGTGGATTGGAATTGAGAAGTGGCTTGTGACCGTAAATGCGTATTCCTTATGATGTTATTTATACTTTACTGCTTATTGTTGTCTGATGTGCTTGTCCCTAACTGCTGAGTCTATTCCTGGTTTTAAAACTAGTGTCTCTTAAGTATATATCTTCCTGCTTCGAAATGATTTTTGTATATATATATATATATATATATATATATATATATATATATATATATATATATATATATATATATATACTATATTTCAACACGTTGGAGTGGGTTACCAGCATCTCTCGTTGAACAGATATATTTGGCTTTCAGGCACAGAGGAGTAGACACCGGAGCGCGCTAGAGATTTGGAGCGTAGAGTAGATAATTTCCCTTTTGGCCTGCGTGCCATGCTTATGTATTTACATTATTGAGGATATTAGTTAGTTAGCCTGTGCACCTGAGTTCTCTAGCTCAGGTGTGGCATAGCACCCCGTACTCTATTATATTATGTTTTGTGATTTAATGAGAATTTACCTTTATTATATAAGTCTTAAAAGTTGAAAAATTTTGGGGTGTTACACTTACGATTGTTCCATATAGATTTCCTCATCTAATTCGCCGTTTAGGAAAGAGGTTTTCACATCCATTTGGTGAACTTCCAAGTTCCGCAACACGGCTATGGCAAGTTGTAACACCCCGTGTTACGCCCTTTTGGGAAATTGGCCATATTGAAGCTCCAAGCCTGTTAGAATAAAGAAAGAGTGCCCATTATTAATCAGATTCTAATTGCGAATCCTAAACCTTTTACCCAGTCAGATTCGTATTAGGGATCCTAACCTATATAAAGGGGGAATTAGAAGGCATTAGAACCCTATCACCCATATCTCTCCCTCCCCACACGAATTCTGCTCCTAGCCAAAGAATTCCCCATCACCAAGCTTAGGGAGGATCGATAGGAAGATGACCTTAGGGAAGACCCTAGAAGTCATAAGAAGTTTAATTAAAGCTACCAGGTAACCCATGTCCTACAAAACTTATTTTCCTTGCTATTGTTTATTCATTGGCTCCGTTGGATGATTAAACGAGTGATTTTGTATGTTTGCCCGGTTAGAGCTTGTCTTTAGGATTTACAGTATGAATTCTTGTTGTTCTTGATATTCTTGATGGCCCTGCGTGGTTATTGGCTTGTTTTGTATTCGATTGTGTTTAGAGCTTGTCCTTAGGATTTGTACGGTGAATCTTGTTATTGAATACATTCTTGGCGTTCTTGGGGTGGTTTATGCATGCTCGGGTGTTATTCTAGGTTTAGGGCTTGTCGTTAAGCTTGGTATGATCTTGTTCTAGAGGTTCTTGAACCATTGTGGGTTTAACCTTGATTCTTGGCATGTTTAGTGCTTGTGTTTGGGATTTAATTGTGTTGTTTCTTGGCTTATTCTTGATGATCAAGTCCCTATTGTTGTTGTTGTGAATTGGGAAGTGTTGGGACTTGATTTTGGGTGAATTGGGTGAATTCCCGGGTTGGGAAATTGGCCAAGAAGCAAGTTCCAGCGGGTGGTTGGTGGGGGGACGAACCCCCACCTGACCACCCGTCGGCGAGGGGGAAAGGTCCCAGCGGGGGGACAGGCGGGTGGTCGGCCACCCGTCGGAATAGTACACCGCCGCCGGCAGGCGGACGGCGGGGGGACGGCCACCCGCCAGTCTACTTACTGGGGGCGGCGTGGTTCTGCCGGCGGGAGGTCGGCGGGAGGTTGTTCTCCCGCCGTACCCCCCGCAGGTACGGGCCTGTGCGGGGTCGTTCGGTCTTCCGCGGGTCGAACCCCGTACCCCGTTGTGTCTCGTTTGACGTATATGAGTCTCGCATGATGTTTAGGTACCGTAACGTGATTTATGAGTCGTGTCTAAGCATGTGGTCTAAACTTGTATCGTGTGGTTTATGTTATTTCCTGTAGGTTGCATGATATAGCTAATATTCCGTGTTGTTATCGCATGTTGAGCCTTTTCCCAATAACCCTGTGATGTAGTTGTTGATTGAATCTTGATTATTGTGCCTTGCCCATGGTATTGAAAAGATGTGTTGTTGGTGGTTTGACGCATTGCGAGTGCTTTGATCATTGTGCTATAGGCACTGATCACATGATAACCGTGCTATATGCCGGATCATGTTATGTTTGGCATTGCGAATGCCCGGTTATTGTGCTTTAGGCACAGACCACTTGATCATTGTGCTATAGGCACAGGTCAAGCTATGTTTGGCACTGCGAGTGCTGTTTTGTTGGTGGATTGTTGGAGGTTTTGTTGGAGGGGAGCATGCGTTGCTCCGGAGGGATAAGAGTGGTGTTATAAGGGTGGCCTGGAGGTACATGTTGGAACTGATATAAGGATGGAGAGGCATAAAGGTTGGAACTTGGCATAAGGTTGGAACCTGGGCGTGTCTTGTCGTGTGGCCTGGCTTGTTATTGTGGTTACCTTGTTTTGTATTGCATGTTGTGTCTCTATGCTTCATGTCGTGTTGTGTCTATTGATATGCCTTGAGTCTGATTCCTGGTTTTAAAGCTAGATTTGTTAGGACTATATTATGTATTCACTACTACAGAAAACACTTATAACGTCGCCAATTTAACGTCGATTTTTTAAAAAACCGACGTTAAAAATTTAAAATTAATTAATTTTTTTTTTAAAAAAAATACATAAGACGTCGATTTTGCGAGACAACCGACATTTTATATGTATTTAAAATTAAAAAAAGAAATAAATATACTATACGACGTCGGCTAACTAACGAGCCGACGTCGTATAGTATACGATTTTTATTTTTTTATTTTTATTAAGGTTACGACGTCGGTCTTATAGAAAACCGACGCCGTAACCTTTATTTTTTTAAAAAAATAATAAATTATTAAATATATGACGTCGGCTACTTTTATATCCCACGTCGTATTTTTAATTCAACCCTAGATATACAGCCTATTCGAACAAAAGAGATCTCTTCTTCTTCAACACATCACACCGTCGCCCCATCACACCGTCGCCCCATCACACCACACGCTACACTGTCGCCTAACACCATCGCCACTGCTCCAGCCCTTCTTATCGTCGCCACTGTTGCCGCCCACTTCGAGGTCGTCTTCGCCAGCCGCCGCAACAGTCAGCCGTCGCCCCTTTCAACTTCGTATTCGCCAGCTGCCCCAAGCCGTCGCGTTGCGTCGCCGCAAAAGCTTCACCGGACATCGCCTCGCCGCACCTGGTCGCCGGAAGTCACCTCGCCGCACACTGCGGTAAGATTATTTTTGTAGAATTATTTGCCTATCTACGAACATTTGTACTGAAAATTTTGCAATTACCGCAATCAGGAACGCTCTATGAATTTAAGGGCATTGTCTATGTAATTAATCTAGCACTAATGGCTTAGATCTGAGGAAGAGTTGTTGCACATGCATATTTGTCTAATCCCTGCCTTTTAGGGTGGAGATGTGGTCTAATTAACTGGTTTTATTTTATGCAGATATATTAGGTAGTCTACTTGCATACTTGTGGAACTTTATCAGGAAAAATGTCGGCATATGAAAATGTAGTTGTTGGAAAGTTGAAGCTAAAGGGCAAGGCTCTAGATGTGAAGTCTGGAGGTGCCAAAAAGAAGAAGCACAAGAAGCTGCGTGATCGTGATCATGTGTTCCGAGTCACAACAGGTTTGCACCTTTCTTTTATTTGTTGTAGCTAAATTTATTTCAAATGTGTTTCTTAGGGTAGTGTAAATATGATTCTTTCATTGTTATATGCCGGTGTAATCAATATCTATATCTATATATACAACTATACTAATGTTGTGCACGTTTCAAAAAAAAAAAAAGTATTGCATTTAGTTGCTTAATCATTGATGCCTGCATCTTTGTTGTCAGTTGCTCTTCCCTAATTGTTGTTAGTTTCGTTGTGTAAACTCGAATTGGTTTTAGGGAAGGAAGCAAATCAGCCTTATAGTGGGTGCATATCTTTAATCTTTATCTGTGATCGACTAGTATTTCTTGTGGTTTTCAGCGCAATGGATACAAAGAAGATGAAGATGGAAACTGAAGATTATTATATCATTTGCTTATAAAGATATCAAACTGACCAATATTGAAGTTGCTTTCCAAGCTGGTGAATTTCTCTTTATCTTCTTCCAGGCTGCTCCTAATTGTATTGTGATAAAGCAATAGTATTCATAGTATTACTAATAGTGCCAATAAACTGATAATAACATGAAGAAGATAGTCAGGGCGAACCTTTTTATAATGAGACTATTTATTTCACTCCTAAAATCTATTCTTTGAGGGATTGAATAAATGACCTGTGGGTTAAGAGTTGGTCGTGAATTTCAAAAATTCTTATGAAAAACATAACTTTTGCGCTTTTGAAAGAAAAATGTGGCTGACAAAGATGTGCACATACTGTGAATTATATTCTTCTGTTATATGAGCAAGACTAGCCTCAAACTATTTTACATTGAATTGTTTGATCATATTATGGTTATATTAGAGCTACTTGATTAATCGAAGAGGATGTAAGATCTCTGGTTTCATAATCTAGTATTCTAGTGAGTAGTAGAGGTGCATGAGATTACACAACTTGAATGGTTTGCACCAATAATATATCTTGAGTTACTATATGGATATTCTTTGGTTGCTTAAGTTGGGGGAGGATGAGACTGCAAGTTTGTGTACCAAGGTATTCTTTGGTTGCTTATATGGATATTCTTTGGATATTAGTTAAACCTTTAATGAACTTGCAGTTGGACATGCTAAATTAAATTCATTTTAATTTATTTATTTACAGTGGGAGCAACAACAGATTGTGGAAGCTGAAATCATGAAGTGTAACAAGGCTATTGAGACCGTGTTACATGGTCTGCTCCTTACTCATATCTTGTTTCATCTACCTCAGTGGCCATTGCACATAGCCCACTTAGTTGAAAATAAAGTTATACGCATGCTATTTTAAGTTTAAGATGATTTTCTCAAGAAATTAGATAATTCAAGGACCGGCTAATCCATAATTGGTCGATTCAATATGCATGCTAGGAAATGATACCTATCAAATTTTGGCTTAGGTGAAAATTGCAATTATTATCCATTTTCTCTTTTGCGTTCTCAATGTGTACTTGGTTTGGACTTTCTTTCAATTGAAGTATGACAATCTGATTCAAATGTTATCCTTTTCTCATCTCTTCCATCCCTTGCTGTTGCTTTTAGGAGGTTCCATGGTTGAATGTTGCTCGTCTTGTTAGAAAGAAAAGGATGATCTCTTTCTTAGGAAGATCATTTTGCATGTTAATTAAATTATTATATACTAATAATTCGTACATGACTGAAAACTATTGACCTTGTCAGTATGGGAGCAAGGTGAAAATATGGATTTTCTTATGAGTGCTTCAAACTTCATTCCAAACATATGACGATTATTTTATTTACATCTTTACACTCATCATGCACCTCCGTTGTATTGACAGCCATGACAGTGATCATTCAGATAATAGTGTCATATAGATGGGTGATCTTTTATGTGGAGAGAAATTAATTATTAGCAACTAATGAACGGATTCATATTGCTTATACATTGACTCTATTTATTATGTTTATAAAGGTGGTAAAAGTGATTTGTCAAGCATTGAACATATGATAGAAGATCCTTCTGATGCTTATCTGGAAATCGAAGAAATTCAACAGAGCACTAGTCTTACTGTGGAACCCCAATGCAAGGTATAGCATCTAAACTTGAGACTTTTCTTCTATCTTTCACTGTTCTTTATTTATTTCTCCTTTCAGTTTTGCTAGTTGATATGCCTGAAGTGTTTGCTAAATCTGAAATTGTTGCTTGGTACTTCAATTTTTTTTATCATCCTTAAATATCCATGTACAGTGCTGTTGGGAGGAGTTCTTGTCTGGTACTCTCATTCTCGTTTAAATTTTAATAAAAAAAAATAAACGACGTACGTTGTTTTTTTTTATTTTTTTATTTTTAAAGTGAACATAAGACGTCGGTTTTTACAAAAAAACCGACGTCTTATGTGAATTTATTATATTTTTTTAAAATATACGACGTCGATTTTTTTAAAAAACCGACGTCGTTTCTTAATTAAAAATATTTTTAAAACTATACGACGTCGGTTATTACTTAATAATCGACGTCGTATGTTAATATTAAAAATTTAAAAATTATACGACGTCGGTTTTTTTAACCGACGTCGTATCTCATACTTACGACGTCTGCTACCTAGACGTCGGTCGAAATCCGACGTTAAATGGGGTAAAAGGACCGACGTTAAAGCCCTTTTTTGTAGTAGTGATTCCCAAGTCTCAAAATGGTTTTCTTATATCTATACTTATTGTACTCAACGGATGGGAGTGGGTTGCTTAGCATTATTCACTAACGGTTGTAATACCGCATGTTTTTCAGGTACTGATTAGATGATCGTGAGCGTGCTAGAAGGAGCTACGGTTCCTGGCTTATATAGTATTAGTTTAGTCTAGTCGGCCTGTGAGCCTGGCCTGTATTCGGATAGTGATTATGGATTGTACTTTGCTTAGATAGTTAGCCTGTGCATCTAAGTTCTCTAGCTTAGATGTGGCATAACACCCCAACTCTAATGTTTAGCTTCCGCTCTATTTGGATATTAATGTTAGTCTTGCCTTATTTCATAAGCTTTAAGGGTTTTAAATTATGCTGAAAATTGGGGGTGTTACACAAGTATCATCCTAATCGAGTTTATTCTCGTCACGGGAGAATACGTGTCGAAGTAATCAAGGCCCTCGCGGTGCCTGTAACCCTTGATTACAAGTCTAGCCTTATACTTCTCAATGGAACCATCCGGTTTCATCTTCCTTTTAAAGATCCACTTGGATCCTAAGGGTTTGCTACCACTTCTGTAAAAGAGAATCCACTTCACTCTTTATAGCCTCTTTCCACATTGGTCATTCTATAGAAGTCACGGCTTCTATATACGTTCGAGGCTCATTCTCTATCAAACAAGATAGAAAACCAGGTTCATTTTCTAATAAACAAGTTAGAGTATCCGAATCATACTCTAACAAGTAAGTTAGAAAATCAGGACCAAATGATTTTTCAACTCTTGCCCGCTTACTGCGTCTCGGCTCGAGCTCGGGTTCTTTATCAGATTCCCCACTATCATTATCCATAGTTTCGTCAAACTTCCATTTTGACGTACTCGGTCCCTCATTGGACCTACAAGGAAATACATTTTCAAAGAAATATGCATTTATTGATTCTATTATCGTGTTCTCATGTACGTCCGGATTATGGGACTCGTGTACTAAGAACCGATAAGCACTACTATTATGTGCATAGCCAATAAAGATACAGTCCATCATCTTAGGACCTATCTTTACTTTCTTAGGTGTTAGCACCAAAACTTTGGCAAGACACCCCTACACTTTCAGAGTTTCAGGTACTGGTAGGAAGGTTTCCTACCATTCCACAGCTCATAAGGAGTCTTATCGAGCTTCTTGCGGGGTACCTTATTTAAAAGGTAATTACTTGTCAAAATCGCCTCACCCACATACCTTGAGCTAGGCCCGAACTTACTTGCATCGCATTCATCATATCTTTCAATGTACGATTCTTTCGTTCGGCAACACCGTTCAATTGAGGTGCGTAAGGTGCCGTACGCTCGTGTACGATACCTACACTTGCACAGAAGTCACCAATCGGTGCTTCGTACTCACCACATCTATCGCTTCTAACCTTCTTAATTCTCTGATTAAGTTAGTTCTCCACTTCATTCTTATACAGAATGAATTTTTCAACGGCGTCATCTTTGCTTTTAAGCAAATACACATAGCAGTTCCGCGTGTTATCGTCGATAAACGTGATAAAATACTTATTACCACCTCTCGTTTGTATCAATCTAAAATTGCACAAATCACTATGGATTAAATTCAGTGGTTCAGTTTCCCTTTCAACCGATTTGAAAGGTACTCTAGTTAGTTTTGCCTCAACACAAATTTCACACAAGTTATTTGTGTTAATTTGAAAGTTAGGAATATGGTGCATGCTAATTAATCCACGTATAGAATTAAAATTAACATGACCTAGTCTACCATGCCACAAATTAGAAGACTCAAGCAAGTGAACGAAATTAACTTTGTTTTCATTGATAACATGAATTACACTGAGCTTAAAAAGCCCATTAGTTGCATATCATTTACCAACAAACATCCCTAACTTAGACAAAACTACTTTGTCTGACTCGAACACCATGCGGAACCCAGGCTTGTTCAGCAGCGAGCCAGACACAAGATTCTTCCTCAGCTCCGGAACATATAGCACGCTGTTCAACGTCAGTTCCTTCCCGGAGTCATCTTCAGAACCACTTTGCCCATGCCTTCCACAACAGACTGAGTAGAGTTTCCCATCCACACCTTTTCACCCTCAACGGTTTCAAAGGTGTTTAATATCTCTCGATTGCAACATAAATGCCTGGTTGCACCGGTATCGATGAACCACTCACGTGGGTTAGAGCCCACGAGGTTCACCTCGGTCTCCATAGCCGAAAGGATAATCTCGACCTCCTTCTGACTGCTCTCTCCAACAACGTTGGCTTTAGAACTCTTGTTCTTCTTCCTTGGAGCCTTGCATTCAGATGCTCTGTGGCCAGGCTTGCCACAATTGTAGCATTCACCAAGAAACTTATTCTTGGTAACGCTACCTTTCGGACCTAGCTTTTGCTTATCCTTCTTGTTCCCCTTGGAGTTTTTACCGTGCTCCACAACGTTGGCTTTAGCGCCACTAATGATAGGAGTTTTCCCATCATTCGTCCTGTTCCCTTCCCCAATTCTGAGTCGCTGGATCAAGTCCTCAAAATTCATCTCCTTACGCTTATGCTTAAGGTAGTTCTTGAAGTCCTTCAAACCTGGAGGCAACAAGTGGATCACATATCCCACTTGGAAGGCTTCACTCAGCACCATGCCCTCGTCACAGATCTCGTCGATGATTAATTGCAAATCTTCTACCTCACTTAGCACGGTCTTGGAATCAACCATTTTGAAGTCCAAGAATCGACCAACCACAAATTTTTTTTTGTGCCGGCATCCTCGCTTCGGTATTTATGATCCAAGGCTTCCCACAGCACCTTTGATGTGCTTATCTTTCTATATACATCATATAGTGCATCACTCAATCTATTCAGGATGTAGTTTCGGCATAGGAAGTCCGAATCCATCCAAATGCCAACCGCCATCACGGATTGTTCCTTCATCTCGGGAACTTTCTCGGTCAAGAACCTTGCCAAGCCGAGAGTTGCTAGGTAGAAAAGCGTCTTTTGCTGCCACCTCTTGAAGTTCGATTCGAAATCGGTGAACTTCTCCGGCTTTTCAGCCGATCCGCTCGGTACCGAAGGTACCCGAGTCATGGGAATATATCCCTCAGTGCTCCCACCATCTTGTGAACCAACATTCACTGGTGGTGCTTGGAAGTTCGCAACATTGTTTTCATTCGCTCCATGTTTGCAACAACATTTTCCTCCCCATGGATTGGCAGTACGGGGTCCTCCATTTCTTCAACGAAATTAGAGACAAGAAACCAACGGGAAAACGGAAAAATAAGTTTTTAAGACTGTTGGGTAACCGTTGGTAAAACCGAATAATAATCCTACAAAATAAGGGTTATTATATCCTGTAGGAAAAGGGAAGGAAAGATGAAGAGATTGGCTCGTGTTTGGTGTAGGGTTTTTAGCAAGAGTCAAGCGATCACTCTTTCCTCAAAACCTTATTTGCTACCTCCCACAAGTGCTAGGAGCGTTGTAGCCTACGCTTCCCATGATAAAACTTGCTACAATTTAATGTTTGAGCACCCAAACAAGCAATCCGGCGAACTAGAGCAACAGGATAAAAACAATTAGGCTAAGAAGAGAGTAGAAGCAAAAGAGTTTTGAGACTGGAAAATATGATTTTCTATATTATAGAATTCTGCTATTCTACCCTCTCTTATTTAGGGGTGACGGAATTCAATAGCATTCAAAAATGACATTAAAACACCCGACCGGACTGTGATCGGTACGTACTGGTGGCGCACACGAGATTAGGCTTGAGTCAAACCTTTTCGATCTCATTTTGAGATTTGATTTACACCTCCCCTGCGCGCGAGAGAGAGCCTCTATGCTATACAATTCAATAAGTCTAAAAAGAGCTCTTGTATAAATAGTGGGGAAAATCCTCTTCCCAAACCAATGTGCGAAAAAAGCTTCACTTTTTTCCTTCATTTTTCCAACTTAATGGGTCTACTTTGAGAATCAATTGTTGGGTAATAAGGTGGAAAAATCCCAAAATAATAATCCTACGGAAAGACTATTATTATATGGGAAAACAGAAAAAACTGGGAAGGAAAGTGTGGAAAAATTGGGTAGAGGTTAGCACGAGTTTGAACACAAAGTTCTTTTCCTTAAAACCTTATTTGCTACCTCCCACAAGTGCTAGGAGCGTTGTAGCCTAGGTTTCCCAAGATAAAACGTGCTACGGTTCTTTGTTTAAGCACCCAAACAAAGAACCCAGCAAACAAAGCAAAGCAAGAACACTTGTTGGCTAAAGAAGAGAGTAGAAGCAGAGTTTTGGGAAGCTAAAACTTACTGGAATTCCTTTGTTTCTAGTTCTGTGTAAAAAGCTACTGCTCTACCTCTCTTTATATAGGGCTGTTGGAGGGATATCATTCAACATGGCCATTAAATTGGTATTAAAACCAATTGTGTAACACCTGTAACAGCCACCCACTAACTAGGATTAAACTCAGATTTAAAATTGTAATTAAAACAGTATTAATTCCGTAACAGATGAGTTTAATCTTCACAACAGGCTGAATTTTTGGGTTTCAGACCGTTGGGGTGCAGGTTCGCTGTTCAGGACACGAGAGCACAAGGACCAGCAACACGAGAGTGCATCTCTCGTGCTGTGGTGCAACCCAAGAGTGCACCTCTCGTGTTCACCGTTGCACGAGAGTTGTGCTCTCGGTGCACCACAACCTCTCGTGCTCTCTGTAGCACGAGAGTGGTGCTCTCGGTTTCGGCCGGCCAGCCAATTTCCGGACGACATTCGTGCCCGCAGGTGCCGGTGCACACGAGTTTGGACTTGAATCAAGCCTTTTCGATCTCGTTTCTAGTTGGAATTTGATTTGCCACTTAACATGTTATTTTAAGCTATTTTTTTCAACAATTGATTCGTAATAATTTTTTTTTTAAAATTTTAAAATGAAATCTTATGGGAACTGAAATATAAGCCATGCGATATGGGGATCTTAGGTGTCCATATTGAATTTCGGCCATGCGATATGGGGATCACTTAGGTGCCCAAATTGAATTTAAGCCATGCGATATGGGAATCTTAGGTGCTCATATTGAATTTAAGCCATGCGATATCGGGATCTTAGGTGCCCAAAACCGTTAGAACATATAACATGCAAATTTTACTTAGTTTGATTGAGAAACAATAAGAATTAAAAAATGCAATAGCGATAGACAAAAAGCATATTACAGGCTACAGATATTGCTATCACTATTCTGTCATGAAAATGGAAGTGAATTGGGATGTGAAAACCAAATTGCCTGTAAAAATGAATAGTAATGCTAATCTGTATCGAATTCGTAGCAATTCATTCCACGAACCAGTAAATGGAATTGATTCAAAATGGACTAGGGCAAATAAATTTACGAATTAAAAAAAAAAACAGAATACTTATCTAGGTCATGCAGAACAGATGGCTCAAGAACAAATTTCTCTGAGTTTAGATCGTGAATCGTTAGGGTTGAACAACTCAATGACAACTTCGATGACCAGATGATTATGATTTCTGTAAGCTGCGATCAGAAATCCTAGCTAACACTACGAGCGATGATGCCATAACGGCTCAACCCTTGGTGTCTCCCGTCACTTGGAGTGACAGAATAGATTAGGAGATGGAGAGAGGTATCATTGCGTGGTCTAAATGGCGGACATAGCTAAGAAACCAGCGAGAGAGATGATACTATGGTGAATGGTCTGTTCTTTCTCGATCCGGACGGTGACATAAGATAATGGGATGGGTTGGTAGTATTGTTGCTATGGGCTCAAACAGGTATGGCTAATGGGCTGTAACCATGGGCTATGTTAGAATTAAAAAAATAGGTGGGTGTTGGGCAACCATGGGTAATTCCCGGCTGGGGACTGATGTTGTCATATGCAATGACCATTAATAAAAGTTAAGGCTAGACGCTTGCACACATTGAAATGTTGCTAAAGAAACCGGTATTTGTACATGGCCAATTGTGCGTAGCTACTTCCGGAGTTAGAAACCTAAACAGTTTAAAGATCTTGATTTGCAATGAAGGTGATGCGAGTTCTACATCAACTATAAATGTTGTTTATCATGAAGTGTTCAATAATTTGTAATTTCAATTCAATTGTAACCAGCTACTCCTTTGAATAATACATATTATCTAATTATTGCATGGATATTTTCATAATTGGTTACTTTTATGAAAATTAACTTTAATATAAAAATTACTAAATTTATTACTGTATAAGTCATATTCGTGCATCGCACGGGTGAAATACTAGTTTACATATATAATACAACATTGCTACTATTAAGAATTCCCAATACTAAACATATTCTGAATATTTAATTTTAAAAAATCATTTGAAATTTGACCCTTTTCCCAAAGAAAAAGGCCGATACAACATTACTACTATTAAGAAATCCAAATACTAAACATATTCATATATATTCTGAATATTTAATTTTAAAAAATCATTTGAGATTTGACCCTTTTCCCAAAGAGAAAGGTTGAGGCATTTCCGTCTCTCGACTCCACCTTCGCAGAGAAACATCCCACCTCCACACGCCCAATTATCCACCATCTTAATGCTCCCGCTAGGGTTACAGGCACTTGCTACTAAACCTAGCAAACGATGCTTCTAGCTAGGGACTTATGAAGAGAACAAATTTCTCATCTGATTTCGATATGGGAAATTGTGCGAGGACTTGTTTGGCTTTCATGGGGATAAAATGGAGCAGACAACTATCAGGCATGTACTCATGTTTATCCATGGTTTTTAATTTGCTTCACTGAATGGAATGGCAGAGATGATTGGGTTCTGCTGGCAGCATCCAATCACACCCTATAAGCTTTAATTTGCTTCATTTTTATTTCCATCTCACATTATTTTCATATGGCTTTATTGTTTAGTTTCGAAATGTGCTCGATTATATGTTGATGCAAGCAGGGAGGAAATGAGATGATGAAAGAGCTTTAGCATTATTTGAAAGCCTTGGTACTATATATTCATACAGATTTTTTGTGAGTTCATTTTGCAGAAATTAGAAAAATATGCTTTGGATAGACCTATTCAGCAAGTTAAGTTGAAATGGAGTTAGTTCAAGCGTTTGCCTGCTCATCCCAGCACCTAATTATATTTCTACCCAAAAGATTGTGTATTGTTCAATTTTCATTTCCGGTTGTACGTTGACTATTATCTTCTTATATTTTCATAATACTTCACATCTCGCAGGATGAAACTAATCCGGTCAAATCTCGGTCGGTTCTCAAAAGGATATGATGTTCTATGCAAAGATCAGAGTTGAAGCTTATCTCCTTCCAATCTTTTGAGGTGAGTGCAGATATCCCTATAGTCATTTTCAATTTTTCAGTGGAACAACTTCAACTAGTGTATGTGCACCTAATTGGCTAATTATAATGTTGAAAGAAAGCTGTGAAAATGACTTCAGTGCACCACCCCTTTTCTTCTAAGTTTTAATACTGGGAAAACATCATATTGGGCTAAAAAAGATGATTCGTGGGCTTTGGATGCCCCAGCCTGGTATCCTTTCACGCCTCACACGGTACCCTCCAATCTAAAGACAAGTCAGAGAAGCCTCCGCCTTCGCTAAGACTACTCAGTCAACTCACCACTTGGAATGGGCAAGCCAATAGATAACAACACAAACCCAACCTTCAAGGCAAGCCCAATTGTTCCACCATCTTAATGCTCTCACTTGAGTTACAAGCTCATGCTATCAAGCCCAGAGAGCAATTCTACTAGCTAGGGACTTATTAAGAGAACATATTTCTCATCTGGTTTCGATGTGGGAAGTTGTGCGAGGGCTTGTTTGGCTTTCATGGCGTAAATGAAGAAGACAACTATTGTGTATTCATGATTTTTTACAGCTATGAGATTTGCGTTGTATCATTGTGACGGGAGGAGATGAGGAAACAACGGGCGCATTATTTGTAAGCATTGCTACTATATATGTCAAATTTCGCAGTTTTGATCATATATTGCGTTTAGGGGAATGAAATTAGGGTTGTGAATTGAGATTATGCATTTTTATTTTCATGCTAATTTGATCGTTGTTATGGATTATGGATAAATAATGTAGGCAGTTTACAGTTTACATAAAGGCAATTCCAATTGCATTGGTGGAAGATCGAGTATCTATCAGCAAGCTCTTAATTTCTTCTTGTGATCATGTAGTTCCTTACTAAGTTACATCAGTAGAAGAATACAAAACTAAACAAAGTTTTCCAATCTGACTGAATAATGCAAAAGTGAAGGAGGAAACATGTGCTTGCTGTTGTGGATACTCAAGGAAAGAAACCTCTGATAGTATGGTAGAAAATGCAATAATCTCTGAGTTTGCAGATGCTTAATTGAATATTATTGAATGTTGTAATGTGGCAAGTGCATCTTATTTTAATATATTTTTTTTGAATGTTACTGGCCCTATTACATTGTAGTATCTGTTCATATACTTTCTCAACCTACTGAAACACAAAGAACCAATAACGCCTCCACTGAGGCTCGAACTCGTAACCTTCCAAATGGAAGTCCAACCCGGATACCATTATTTTAATATATATATACACTGTTGTGTACAATATTGTTGACCATTTTATTTTAATAATAAAATACATACATTGTGTTTGAATATTGTTGTGTTGTAAATATGTGTGTTTTATGGCCATTATTTTAACTGTTGTGGTCTCACTTTCTAATCCAGGTTTTTCTATTTTGTATATGTATATATATCATCGATTATCTAAAGAAAGTGGTTCCTGATTTGTACTTTCTAATACAGTTTTTTTTTTTTTTTTTTTTTTTTTTTTATTTTCTACACACACACACACACACACATATATATATATATATAGGGAAGGGATCAGGTGCATTTGTTGCTTCCCGTGCGGATGTGCGGTGGATTAATGTGCGTGAGTATTTCAGAATTACGAGCTCAGAAAGAAGCAGAACAGAAACTCACGCACATTAACGCCCAAGCTTCTGTTACTTCTTCCTTGAATTTGGCCATGAATTCTGGATTATCAGCTACCTTTAGTGCAGTTGAATGTTTATATAAATGATGCACGCACAGTAAAATTTGCACAGTAGCTAAGTGTGGATTTCTGTTGTATTATTCCCATAATTCTTAACCACCATAACCTGCCTCCGCATCATCATCATCAGGGAGGGGGCAAATGGCTACTGGGGATGGGGAAGAAGCTGACATCAATATTTTCTGCTGCATTTTACACATTCACGCACATTAAGTACAAATCTCAAGCACATTAAGCACAACACTCACGCACATTGTGTACAAATCTCACGCACATTAATCCACCGCATATCCGCACGGGAAGCAACAAATGCACGGGACCTTTGACTATATATATATATATATATATATATATATATATATATATATATATATATATATATATATATATATATATATATATATATATTCTACTATACTAATAAGAGCCCAAGAGAGTTAGGCCTATAATGGGTAGAAAAAATGGCGGTCACAGATTTTAATCAAATGAATGGCTCAGATTGATTAAAAGATTGATCAGATTTAAATTTTACACTAAAATTTCCTAAAATACCCGCACACCGTTACTAATTCCGTTAAAATTTTAAGAATTGTCGTTAGTTCACCGTTAACTTACTCATTGATTTCAATAAAAAAGGTCTTTGGATCGAACCTCATCTCAATCAAAGTTGGCATAATTAGTACTCTATTTTACTCTTATTAAATAAATTATATAAATAATAATTTCGTAAATACAACAAAAAAATAATACATATGCATTTCTTTAATTTAGAATTATGTGTCCTCAATGTCTTTATTCAAAAAAAAAAAAAAAAAATTATTCATTATCAATAAATTAAATAAGATAAATAATTTTATTAGTTATATTGTCTTTATTTTTCTTCAATATAAAAATAAATTATTAATTATCAAATTCAAATTTATTAATTGATTATATTCGCTACATTGTCCTTACAATGTCTTTATTCAGTGAAAAACAAATTATTAATTATCAATAAATTAATTAAAAGAAATATTTTCATTAGTTATATTGTCTTTATTTTTCTCAAATGTAAAAATTTTTACATTCAAATTCATCAATTGATTATATTCACTAAATTATCTATTATCTTTTTTGTGCATTATTTTTCTAATTAAATATCAAAGTTATAACATAAAATAATGCTATATATTTATTTACCAAGCATTTTATTAATACCATGAAAAAATTAAAAAAAATATAATTAATAAAGTCAACCATATTAACTACTTGAGAGATTTTGTGACAAAGAGAGTATTCAAATCACACAACAAATTGAAGTGAGAACTACCTCGCAATGTCCTTTTTTGACAATCAGCAGTTAGCGGTTAGCGTTAGCGGAATATACTAGCGGATTTGACCAGCAAATTTATTTAATTATTAACATTGGGTAGAAAAAATGACCGCCAAATTATTAAATCAAATGAATGATTCATATTGTTCAGGTTTAAATTTTTTTCTTTTAAGATTTTCTAATTTATCCTTAATTATATGATTATCCATTTAACTTTTCCGTTAATTCACCGTTAGTCTAATTCTAATATTAAAGTCTAATATAGAATTATAACTACACCATTAATCTAATTCTAATATTAAAGTCTTAATAGAACTTAACCACAAATCCTAATGTCAGAATCTCCTCAAACAATATTAGTATATATTTAATATTTTATGCCCTAATTTTTATTTGTTCTCCCTTATGTCCCATATTTGGTTTCAACCATACCTATACAATTATTTTATTGACAATTATAATCAATATTGACTATATTATCTTGCATTTGTAAACTTAGAATTACCTATTTAACCTGCACGGGCTTAGCTCAATGGTTTGGTGGGTAGTATTTGGGAGAAGAGACCAAGGTTTGAACCTCGGCGGCGGCAATGCGAGAATTATGTCCAAAGTGGGCAGATTCCTTGTGCGTATCAGCATTTGGCCCTATCTGCTGAACCATTGAGTCACCGTGATTTACAACTTCACACAATGCTCTGTCGGGTCGGAGTGTGGGGGCCCTATGGGTTGGGGACTCAACCTTTGGGAGAAGAATTACCTATTTAAATACGCAAATTCAATATAATCTTACATTAATATACTTTAAAGTACTTATTTAAAAAAAAAAACATTGGGCATTATCCCAATCGCGCAATGCGCGTAAAAAACTAGTATATATATATATAGGCTCTGGATTCTGTGAGATGAGATCCTTGACCGTTAAAAAGGTTAGAATGGATGGATATGATTAAAAGCCAATTAGAATTTAATTAAGGATAGTTTTAAAAGAAAATGGTGAAAGAGTAATTGTATTATGACGTTTAATTTTGGTTATAATTAAAATAGAATATTTACCATAATATAAGTGATCCTATTAATTTAAATAATTAATTATATTTTGAATTCTGAGATGAATTAATACGTCCGTGGGTGTGTGTGTGTTTGAATTACATGGCGTCATTGGCGTGTGCATATTCCGGCGACTAACAACACAATTATGTGCATCTGTAATTTTTATTTAGATGATTTTTACAATGATGTGTGTATGAGTGCGGTATGGCATGTGCAAGTTACTGTGTCGCGGACTTTGCATGACATTGTTATTATTATTATTTTTTGTTACTTTTCTTAAAGTGTTATTTGGTGCGAGCGTGAATTCATGTTGTTTTTTTTTTTTTTTTTTTTGTTTTTTTTTTTTTTTTAAAGTTTGCAAAAGCAGTGGGCCTTTGATTTTTACAGTGGTGTGTGCGTAGTTGTGGCATATTATAGAGTTGGGGACATTGCATCTTTTTTTTTTCCTTACCAAAATTGTTATTTGGTGTGTGCGTAAATTCATGTTGTTATTGTTTTTTTAAAAAATAAAAATTCTAAAAGTACTTGTCTTATGTTTTTTTTTTTTTTTTTTTTTTTACCAAAATCGTTATTTACGGAGGTGTTTGCATGGGTGTGGTATGGCATGTGTAAGTTAATGTGCCACAGACTTTGCATGACGTTGTTATTAATTTTTTTTAATTTTTTTTTAAATTGTTATTTAGTGTGAGCATGAATTCATGTTGGTTTAAAAAAAAAAAAAAAAAAAAAAAAAGAATGCAAAAGCACTGGGCCTTTGGTTTTTACAGCGGTGGGTGCATAGTTGTGGTATGGCGTATGCATATTATACGGCTGGGGAAATTGCATATTTCTTTTTAAACCAAAATTGTTAATTGGTGTGTGCGTGAATTCATGTTTTTAAAAAAAAAAAAATTCTAAAAGTACTTGTCCTTTGATTTTTACGGTGGTATGTGCATAGTTGTAGTATGACGTATGTATATTATAGGGTTGGGGACATTGCATCTTGTTTTTTTTTTTTTTTTAATACCAAAATTGTTATTTGGTGAGTGCGTGAATTCATGTGTTTTTAAAAAATAAAAATAAATTCTAAAAGCACTTGCGCCCTTTGATTTTTACGGAAGTGTGTGCGAATTAAAGGGACGGGAACTTTGCATCATGTCGCGTGCTTTTTTTTTTTTTTAAATTGTGGCTTCCTGCTGTATTTAGTTGTGTTTTTTCAATGCAAAGACCAAAGTTGAAGCTTATCCCCTTCCAATCTTTTGAGGGACAGCCCATTAAGCATGATCTAAGGACAAAGAAGCCTCCACCTTCGCCAAGACTACTCCATCAACTCACCTCTTGGAATGGGTAGGCCAATAAATAGCAACCCAAGCCCAGCTTTCAGCACAAGCCCAATTGTTCCACCATTTTAATGCTCTTGCTTGAGTTACAAGCTCGCACTACCAAGCCCAACGAGCAATTCTTCTAGCTAGGGACTTATTAAGAGAACATATTTCTCATCTGGTTTCGATGTGGGAAGTTGTGCGAGGGCTTGTTTGGCTTTCATGGCGTAAAAATGAAGCAGACAACTATTGTGTATTCATGGCTTTTGACGGCTATGAGATTTGTGTTGTATCATTGTGACGGGGGGAGATGAGGAAACAGCGGGCGCATTATTTGTAAGCATTGCT